TGTTATACATAGAGATATTAAAGGTGCAAACATTTTAGCGACTAAGGAAGGTCTTGTAAAGCTTGCAGATTTTGGAGTTGCAACGACGAAAAGTGATTCAAATGTTGTTGGTTCACCATATTGGATGGCACCTGAAATAATTGAATTATCAGGAGCAACTACATCTTCAGATATTTGGAGCGTCGGGTGTGTTGTTGTTGAACTTTTGGAGGGAAAACCTCCTTATCATCATCTTGATCCTATGCCCGCTCTTTTTCGAATAGTTCAAGATGAACATCCTCCGCTACCAGAAACAGCGTCACCTGTTGTTAAGGACTTTCTTATGCAATGCTTTCAAAAGGATAGTAATCTTAGAGTTTCGGCTAGAAAATTACTTAAACATCCTTGGATAGTTAGCATTCAGAAAAAGAGTGGTGATACTTTAAAACAGCCAAAACTACCAACAGAATATGCGGAAGCTGTAAAAAGTGTACAAGAATGGAATGAAGCTTTAAAAGGTGCAAAATTTAAGCCTTCATCACCATCTCATCGACGCAGAAGAAGTGAGTCTTTAAGATTAACAGCTACTATGCCGACAAAATTATCAAAGCATCAATTTCATCAAAATTCACCTTTTGGTAACAGTAATTCACCATCAATGCCCGAATCTCCACCCAAAATGCCAGATCTTATTCCGCAAGTCGAGAATAGTGATCTGGTAAATTTAATACCGTTTAATAATTCTTCAGATTTGATTACACCATCCGCAACATCATCAAGTCAACAACCTAATCGTCTTTCGGTAACTATTGAGCCTGAAGATGAAGGAGATAATTGGGACGCTGATTTTGTGGATTCGATACCTTTTGCAAAAATTGCAGATATACAGAGTAAACAATTGAATCACAAGTCATCAGATGAGGATAATTCACAAACTATTCGGTCAGGTCGATTTAAAAGTGGACGAGACAAGAGTAAAAAGTCAGTATCTCGTGATAATAAAGATAATAAACTGCATGAGAAAAATCCCCTAAATAGTAAAGAGGACAATTGTCAAAAGAAAATACCACAAAATAATAAAAGCAGTAGACAACAGGAAAAGATCCTTCGGGAAAACAAGCAACAAGAAATAACTCGAGATAATAAAGAACCAGTGAAAGAGAAGATAGAGAGAGTTGCAGATGATATAATTGAGGACAATTCTGAAGAAAAGGACAATGTCTGGGAGTCCATGCAAGATACGGTTATTCATATAAATTCAAAAAATCAGGACAATTCAAATAACACGAAATTCACCAAAGTGTCACTTGCCAAACCACCGCTTGTCGCAAAATCCATAGAAGCATCAAAAAATAATAAAACAAGACCAGAAAATCCAGCATTAAAATCGATAATTAAACATCATACTCGTGCGCATAGTGCCAATTCTATACCAAGCCCACTTAGTTCCTCTCAGAATGGTACAAATGTCAAGGGTAGTAAACCACTTCCGCCATTACCAACACACAAATCGACATCGTCCACAGTATCTGCGACAGCTACCAGTCTACCATCAAGAAGAGCTACCTTGTTTCAGCCTGTGTCTCAAATCGAAATGTCTCCAAAACAGCAAGCCTTTAATAGAGTAGCTGTAACTCCACTTTCAATGTTGTCTTCTGAAGAAGATTCACAAAATTCAAGTGAAATTCAGCAATATTATGAATCTGATGATGATGATGATTATAATAAAGCATTTGGTGAAGATGAAGAGGATTGCTTTAGTAATACGTTGAAATTAAATACATTACTTTCAAGCAATAGCTGGTTTGGGAATGATATGAGTGATGATGATGATCCATTTGCAGAAATGGAGGAAAATTTTGAAGAAATGGATATCAACGTACATATCGCCATGGACAAGTATGCACGCGCTTGTTCGCGGTTAGAAGAGTTAATTAATGCTTTGCAACCCAATGAAAGCGAGGATCGATTGGTAATCTCATGTGTTCAAATAATTGATTTATTGACGGAACATAAAGAGCTTAAAAACCACTTTATTATCTTTCACGGTGTAATTCCAATCATAGAAATGCTGGAAATATGTTCATATGCAAGCGTTCTTTCAAGATTACTCAAAATAGTTAATATAATTATTGCAGGTAATATTAATCTTCAAGAGAACCTCTGTCTTGTGGGTGGAATACCCGTCATTATGAACTTTACTTCGAAACGATACCCTTATGAGATTCGTGTTGAAGCCGCCATATTTATACGTCAGATCTGTCATACATCACCTGTCATTCTTCAAATGTTTATTTCTTGTCGAGGCTTAAAAGTTCTTGTTGAATTTTTACAAGAGGATTATAACGAGCACAAGGAATTAGTATGGATAGCAGTGAATGGAATATATGGAGTATTTGAACTTCAGAGTCCGACTCCGAAAAATGATTTTTGTAGACTATTGGCGAAAAATGGTCTATTGGACCCGTTAGCTATCATGCTTCATCATTTAATTTTGGATAAAGATCCAGCTGCTAGTGTATATGTAGAGAGAATCGTTAATATATTGTTAATGTTTTCACAAGGTGATGCCTATGTTAAAGAAGTCATGGCAACACGAACAAGGATTGTTACTAGAATATTTGATAGTTTAGACAAATTACCACAAAACCTTACTGTAGCTATGCTTAAATGTATAAAGAATATTTCAATGAATTCAAATACTTTAGAAGCTTTACAGAGAGCAAAAGCAATTCAAGTTCTTACTAGAATCTTAGATAAACAAGGTCCACATTATGTGACTGAAATTTCCAACCAAGTACTTAATACAATGTTTAATCTTTGTCGAATCAATAAATCAAGGCAAGAAGAAGCTGCAAAGGCCGGAATTATTCCCCATTTGCAATATTTTGCATCTAACAAAACACCTCTTAAACAGTTTGCATTACCAATACTTTGTGATATGGCTCATACTGGACAAGTTTGTAGAGATTTGTTATGGAAACATAATATTTTACAACTCTATCTTGATTTGCTTGTTGACCCTTTTTATCAGGTGAATGCTTTAGAAGCTATTCTTGCATGGATTCAAGAAGAAACATCTAAGGTTGAATCTGTACTACTTTTACCAAAAAATATTGAACTTATCTTGGAGGCCTTCATTATGGCCAAGGCGAATTCATTTGAAAATATCCTAGAACCATTGCATATAATTACTCAATTATCAACATCTGTCGCCTTTGCACTTGCACAACCAAGATTCTTTAAGCGTTTATTACATCGACTTGGTCATCCAAAACCAGTTGTAAGATTAAATTTATTAAGAATATTAAGGTCTATATGTGATGTGCATCCACAGCGTGAAGCTATAGCTGAACGATATGGATTATTCGAGATCACCTCTCGTATGAGCAGAGAAGATCCTGCTGTATTGATACGAGAGCTTGCCAGAGAGATTTTATCCCAAGGATACTTTTCTACCTCAATAACAAAGAAAAAATCTAATAATGAAATAGTAATTAGTCAAAAAGAACCTATAATAGCAGAAGAGACTGATGCAACCGTCAGTGACGTAGAAGATAATAGTGCTCAAGATGACATTTCGTTACAAGAAGACGTCAGTTGACTCGGGGCGGTTCAGGTGGATCAATTCCGCCTGAACCACAAACGAAATAACGCACGAGCATCAATTAATGGATCCCGAAGACGTGCATTATCATCACCCCCATCATCATATACGCCATCTACTTTAATATCAACTACACAACGTCCGTTATCAGTATCCTCATTATCACCATCTATTGTATCATATCAACAAGAAAGAAAATCAAGCACATCATCATCACAATCAATCAAAACTCCACCATCATCAGTTACATCAATGTCGTCTTCACAAAAGAAACATCGAATGTCTTGGTCATCACAGATACCAGTGCCTGAAGCCACTGATGTCGAATGTTCAACCACTGAAACATCAACAAACACACCCAATGAAAGCACGACAAGACTTCAGCAAATAAGTTCAACTTCTAACGCATCTACGGTATCGTTGGATTCTTCATTACCATTTCCGTATCAGCATATAAGAAAACGTGATAGCTCTAGAAAAATTAGGGCATTATCGCATAATCGAAGTTATAATAATCAAAACATTAATTCAATTGCGGAACACTACCAAAGCCGTGAAAGTTATTCTACTGTAAATTTAAGTTCAAGTGGTATGAACAGAAATGTAAGTGAAACAGGAAGTACAAGCGGATCAGTTAACAGTTCTTTATCTAAATCTTCACATCCTGGTGGTGTGTTTGGTTGGCTGAAAAGGAGGGTTAGTAAGGATAACAGTTCGTTGGGAAAATCCGGAAAAACTAAGAGTATTAAGAAAGCGAACTCAAAAAGTAAGTTACAAGAGTCAATTATTGTCCTTAGTGATGAAAAAAGCGAGGAAAAATAATGTTGACAGAGGAAAAAAAGATGATAAGATTGAAATTTCTTCATTTCACTCCTTTAAAAGAATCAAGATCTTAACATCTAAAAAAAAAATATAAAAAACAAAAAAAACCATTATTTATTTAACTATTGCAAAAAAAAAAAAGCCAAAATTCCGCTTTTTTTTGCATTTAATTGCATACACATACACATTCAGCATTTTGTTGAGACGTTGTATTTATCAGGTTTATGTGTTAGCAGTAGTTGTATTTAGGAGTATGTATTGTTTAATACTTGTTGTTGATAATAATTTTTAATAATGAACAAATAAAATAATGAAAATAATATATTTTAAAACATTTATTTGATAAAAATTTTATAATGTAATTTAAGTACAACGAATGTGTGCGAATTCTATAAATGATTTGATTTTTTTTTTACCCTTTACATACTACCATAATTAATCTGACTGGACATAATATTTAATCTTTCAAAAATATATGTATTAATAAAGTGTGTGAATAAAACAATTTTAAATTATAAATCTAAAAAAATGAGTCATAAAATTATAAAAATTAATCTAACATGTGATTTCTTCAAACTTATGATTATGAGTTCTATGGTGTTGCACTCAAAAATACCCTAAAATCTTTGGGATGTGCCATCTTGGGAACACATTGTTTTACTTCATTTTCACCATCATTCGCCTTTAAACCTTTCGATTCTTCATGACATTGCTCATCATCTTTAGCTTCAGCATCACGTTTATCAAATGCTTTAATATCAGAAAATTCTGGATTTGAAATTTCAATGCCGGTTGAATTAGTGTCCTTAGTCAAATGACTACGAACATATAGATTACAATCATAATCCCAAGTGCTTAACCATTTTGAATTAACGCAACTAGACTTTTCCCATGTGTTACCATAAGCTATTGGAGAAAATAACATAAAAATATAAATGCTTGTTATCAAAATTATTGTAACAATGATTGTTCGATTTTTAGGATTAAACCGATCTGTTATTAAGTCAAATCCCACACCAATTAAAAGGATCGCAAAGTATAACGAAGGAAAATAATATTGTAAAAATAATTCTTTAGACATTAAATAGAATGGTAGATAATGTAAACACCATCCTATGAGAAACATATTAGACCATGATTCAAAATGCTCTCCTTTAACTAATGTCGAAGGCAAAAAAAAAAAGACATATTATTAGATTCATGATTAGTTGAACATGCACATATACATCTGTTTTTGAAAAAGATATAAATTATTTACCGCTAAGCCGATCAATATATCCTCTCTTTGTTCTTAATAATGAAATGGATTTCTCAACAAAAAACATAAACACGGTAATCGTAGAAGTCCACCATATAAACGGGTTTCCAATTAAATAAATTTGATGATGACCTTTAATCCAAAAACTAATACCTCGTTCCAGTAATATCCAAGATGAAGGATAAGACAGATAAGGGTGAATAGTACTAGATTTAAAATTTGTCCACATTACTTGATTAAGCTCAATAAATTTCCCAAAGAAGCCAAGTTTGTTATAATTAACCATCTTGACGTCGTTTGGCACTAATAAATAATGTTTTACCAAAGTTTGTTATTATCATAAATTGATAAAAAGCATGATATCGAAAAAAAAAAGTAATTACTTACTTTGGGGATGAGAATTTGTTTCTATATACCATATAGTATTTATATATGTTGCACCTCTTCCGCAGGTAACTTCTTGTTGTCTAAAAGCCCATTCTGGTAATTTAGTACTATGAGAAAAAAGGTAACATCCTCTATTTATATGATAAAGTCTGAATTTCGTGTGAATTGCACGTAGACGTTTTCCGGACTCTGGATCAGAATTTTCGTGGTCTACTATTTCTACACGCCATAAATCGTTGGCATCTGAATGATCTTTATTCCCATAAACACTAAATGGATATTTATTAAAAGGAATGAATAAACGCATGTATTTTTTTTTTTTCTCACTTAGAATTATTTAAATGTTCTCACCTAACTTCGTCTTGACTTTTAGAATTTGTCACTGGTGCTCTGATATTATGACTATGTAGCCACCCTTCAGTTAAACCATGAGAGAGACGAATTACAGCATTATGATAGATCCAAGATGGAGCAATAGTTTCGAATGGTATTTTAGGATCAGTTTCATTTTGGATAATCCATAAATTATTTTCATCCTTATAAGGATATAAAGTAACCTGTTGCTCTAAATGAATAAATACCTTTTGATTAATGAAGAATTCTTTTATTTACATTTAAAAAAAAAAGTAAAAATAATACTCACGTTTGCTACCTATTGGATAACGATTTTGATGAGAATGTAAATAACCACCTCGCGTATTAAAATGTCGAATACTAATTGTAGAGCCATATCCAACGTCTGTAATAAAATTTATACGATTTCAAAATAAAAAAAGGAATTCTCCAAATAAGCTCTTAGAAGAAAAAAAAAAACATGTAATAACCTATAGGTGTATCATTCATGCCATGTCCATTTAATGTATATCTGAATTCAGGACTCATGGACACAGAATCATCACCATTATTTTCAATCATTGAAAAATGAATCGCAAAGACAACCATGTACAAAATCATAGGAATAACCAACAAACACAAAATTCGAGAAAGAAAATGTTTAGCCCATCTTATCTATGAAAAATATGAAACGTTAAATGAATGAAAATTGTAGGAAATTATTAAATATTATTATTTTATGTACATACCGCAGGTAAATGTAAATCACCCAACAAATCCCATAGTTCTTTTATTGTCAAAAGGACAATAAACATAATAGTAAAAAACCCCACCCATTTGATACTATGATTTAATTAAATAATTCAATGTTTATGATATAAATACTACAAGTTATTTAACAAAACAAAACCACCCAATTTTTAGAACGTACCTAATTGTAAGGCCAAGACCTACTCCAGTCATACCCAACCAAAACCACCACCAAAATTTAAATGGTCTATGAAAAAGGGTAAATATGTTTAGCATGATATTAATTTAAGTCAAAAAAAAAGATAAGATTTATTAACATACCTTTTTTGTTCGTTATGAAATTTTATCCACATCAATGTTGTAAATGCAGTAGAAGCTATCAACGGCGAATCCAATAAAATAAGTCTGCTTTGAGTTACCAAACCATTCTCTTTTTTTTTTTGAAAAAGAAATTATATATTATCACCTTATTGCAAATTTTATTATAATGAATTACACTCAGACATACCAAATATCAATAAAGCAGAGACTAGAAATGCAGCAGTAGTCGAAAACCCGGATAATTTAATTGTCAAATAAGAAATTGGTATTACAAGTACACCCAATATTCCTGGTATCAGACGCATCATCACATATGGATATTTAGATCCAGCAAAGTCACTATGTTTATAATGAATATAAATCAAAAAAAGAATGATATATATATAAATAAATAGAGTATGATAAATTTACTTTGTATTCACAGAATCAAGGATTCCATCGTATCCACCCAAGAAAGCAGCAAGAGTGATGAGCAATTTTGCCAATGGTGGATGAGTATCAATAAAGAAGTCTCCTCTAATGTATTGGCTAGAAATAAAAATAATAATCAGATTGAATTAGGGATTTAACATGAACTTTATTAAAATATATAATTAACAATAAAAATATCAAAATTCTTACGAAGCGAGAGTCTCAAAATGCATCTCATCAAACCTGATGTCATTAGAAGTTATAATAATAATTAGATAATTGATAGAATGAGAGGTTGATAAGGATTAAGGTTTTTGCTTACACAGCCGAACTTGGATGGTCTAAGCGATATAATCTTACAAAGAGAGAAGCAACGATGAGTCCAAGAAGGTTAAATATGTCACTAGTAGATATCCCCGTAATGAATTTTGAGATGCTCTTTACACCGTTGTCTTTTGTGCCATATATTAGCAGATCATCATCATCTGATAAGTAATGTATTGATGGTGAATCAGGCACTTTAAATTCTTTCTTTCGATATCTCATATCACCCAAACCCAGAACAGATGATGAACATCGAACTAAAGTTATAAAAATTAATAGTGTAAAACTTCATGTCTAGCATATATACTGAAGACTCATAAAGTGATTCATACCAGGATTGAGAATTACTTCACAATCTTCGTTATTTAGCCTATAATCCATTTTTTTCGTTTTTTTTTTGGATTTTTTTTCTTTATTTTTTATTTCGTTGAGGTAACAACGATTATTATTAAATTTTTCACGTAATTCATATTTATCTTGTTTGTATGGGTGTGTACCAAAGAAACATACAAGAAATTTAAAAGTCACCAATCAGATCGATTCGATATGTACGTATGTATGCACGAAGCTACATATCATATACATGGACGTACATGTTTATTTCCCTATTATAGTTAACAATAAACCGTTTAAATAAATGTGTTCTTTTTTATTATATTACTGTATTAATTAAAAATAGACAAATTGGGTATATTTGGTGGCGCAAAATTCAGCGGATCGATCAAATTTAGGGACGGAATTTATATGAGATATACCGATACCGATTCGGCATTAAGCAATAGTAACAGAACCTTCTTAGTGTAAATGCCGATCGAAAATCATATTTTTGCATTAGTACTATAATTCACAATAATTGTAAACTAAATGAAAAAAAGAGAGACAATAGAAACGATGCATAAATATGCATAAATGGTTCTTTTTTTTTAAATTGCGCAATTTATGATTCTTCAAATAGCATTTTTACAATGTCGAATTATTAATCGGAAAAACAAAATAATTTCAGATTTTAATTTTGAAATCCTCAATAGGATTGATTATAAAGGATTTTAATTTAAAATTGTTTTCAGAAAATACGACTAACACATTTGTCTAGCTTTTTTCATATCAAACCCAAAACCCAATTGAATAAGCTGTATTAATTGCCTTAAGAACTTAAAAATTATAGCAGAAATTTTTACTAATCAATAATATTCTTAGTTTACCGCTAGCAGACAATGTTTTTACTTTACATATTTCATGTTCTAAACTTTATATTATCTGGATTGATACAAATTTTGATTTGATATTTAGCAATTTCTTTCAGTATTAGAAGATTGTAAGTTTTTTTTTTAAGTATCTAAATGTAAATAAAAGAATAATAAGCTATAAATTTCACTATAAATGAATATTAATTACACTTAGTACTATATTATTTAAACCTTCTATATGTTCTATATATTGAGTTTTTTTTCTTCGATATAGCCATTTATTGTTTACGTTTGAATATGTTAACAGATGAGAAGATACATCATGCTTTGAAATAGGTTGCATACAATAGTTAGATCTGCTGTAAAATCAGATAAATTAGTGAAGCAACCAAAATTCAACAGATCGACCCAAATTTAGGGTCGGAATAGGCCCGAAGCTAGGCCGGCATTAAGCAATAATACCAGTCAACTATGCTACAGTAAAATTATTCATCTGGAGCTTTACTTAGTACGTAGGCTACCATTTTATTGGTATGATTTTGGGAGAAATTAATCAATACCGCAAATATTGATCGATCTGCTGAATTTTGGTTACTCCATTAATCTACGTATCCTAAAAATATGGAATTTTTTTATATGACTTAAAATTCATATTTGTCACTCGATCACAACACTAATAAACAATATTACGAAATACACAAATGGGATCTCTCCTCGTGGTCGCCAGTTTTCTCTAGGATCTCTCTTTTTTTTTCTTTTTAAGATATCCAGCCTGTTCGGCCGGGCTATCCTGCCAATCAGTATCCAGCTTGCCCAGCCGGGCTACGCAATTCTACCTGTCGGAATCTGGGTGAGTGGGAGAGACTAACGAAGAGCTAGACTTGCGTCGAGCTTGCAACAAAGAAAAAAGGTGCCTAACAAATTCCCAAAATCGTTTCATTTATATATGATTATTGTCAAATCGGAGTGAATATTATTAGGTAACCTGAAACAATGCAAGGTAACGTAACCAATGATATGCTGAAGAAAAAAATGCAAAAAAAATAGCGAACTTTTATTTGCATAAAAAACATCAACTCGTACGAATGATAAAAATATATGTAAAAATATATATATATATAAATTGAGGCACTAGATTTTAATGGTTTCTCGATTCTTAGCTATTAAAAAAAAAAAATCTTTTTCGCTATATATAGCTGATAAATATTTTGTTAAATTATACTAAATCTCATGTCTCAATAAATAATTTAAGCTCCATACGCAAATAATTATGCTTGGTTCTTAATAGTGTCTATGACTGGATTCTATATATATTTTTATAATCTGCAATATTTATTTGGCGTTAATTATGAGTTGCAACTAATTTAAAAAAAATAAATATCAGGCACTGGCTATGACTTCATTAATAAACTTTTGGCCAAATTTTATTAATGCGGTTCACTGATAGATTCAGACCAGAAATTTGCTGAATATAATCTACACAACAAATTAAAATAGTGGTTGCAAATCCAATCAGGATAGCTCATTGGTTTAATCTTTTTTTACCTTGGAACTTTATCATCAGATTGCCGGTAAACAAATAACCATAAACTTACCAATTTAAGTTTAAATTCTTCGAGTTATCAAATAAGTATTATTAAAAGTCTTTACTTTATAATTATTTGTGTAAATCACCACTAACTTACTAATTTCGTTTGCTTCATTATCTTGGTGCTTTAACTATAGCGATAGTTATGGATTATTAGTAACATAGTTTAAGGAAGGAACTCAGTAAAAATTTTCTTATATACGGTCCTAATTTTAATAGTAAAACCTATTACCTTCCGGGAAGAATGCTATATTTGGGTTGTTTTTAATCGGTAATATAAGCATTTATATAATTTTATATGTATTCTTGCTGTACATAGTTTTCTTAACTAAAGTACGTACTAATGTATTAATCCCGTCATCAATATAAAACTTATTATTCAACCTGTTATTAAATGAAGGCATTCGACCCGTTATTAAATGACCCGTTCGTTATTCAATGACAGCATTCGATCCGTTATTTAATAATTAGTATAAACTTTATAGAAATAATTTACAAAGTCTAATGTGCATATTTGTTACACGAATATGCGACGGTTAATAGCACCATTCATACCGTCCAAATCTAGAACTATTATAGCCCAAATCCAAAACTCTGGCCAAACTAAACAAATGATACGTACATGTTCTAAAAGTTTTTTTTTTTGTAAGTGCAATTGCTTTTTTTGGTTTGGGATTGTGTCAGTAATATAATTACGTAACACATTTGATTATTTATGTATATAAAAACTATATATCGTATTTGCGCGTAATAACGCGCAGAGCTGTAATTTCGAATTTCGGCCTAATTAAGCTTAATTTGGGCTATGACTCGAACTAACGCCCCAGCCCGCTATTACCCAGAAATGAATTATCGAAAATGATTATCGCAAGATTCTATTATATTATAAATAAACAATTTCAAAATTATACTGAATTACTTAAATTATCAACTAAAGTTTTTATCCAAAAAAAATCTATATATAAGGTAAAAGGAGGTAGTTTTACCAATTTAAAATTTATCAAAATTCTCTAATAGTAAAACTTTATTAAAATATTATTAATTGCAGTTTTTATTTTCAATATAGCATAATTCTTCGTCTATTTAAATTCTAAAATCAACAAAAAAATAAGTTGACTTTGTCTGCACAATTTTCATTAATGTCAAGTAAATTCAACGGTCAGGATGTGGCGGATTAGGGTTGGCAATGGACTATGTCCATTAAAAATAAGTTTGTCAATAGGTCTTAATGGACCAATATTATAATCCATTCATTAGTCCATTAGTATAATTCAGAATAAGGTCAGCATCAAAAGAAAAATCTCATTTATAAAAGCTACATATTTATTTGAACTACTTGTCCATTAGTTCATTGGAATAGTGACTGCCCAATGGAACCAATGAAACTGGTCAATGGACTTGTGGAGTCCATTCATATACCAATGGACAAATGTTCCAACCCTATGGCAGATTGACATAAAATTGGCTGTTAACGACAATAGCTATTAGTATATGCACTATAACAATTATCCGTAGTTCTGTAAGGATATTTGTACAATTACATGAAATCTGTTAATCAGAATCAAATGTCTTTATACCATTCGATTTGTCTTGATGAGATGAACCGAATGGTATGAGAATCATCAATTTTCAATGGATAGATCATGTGTAAACTTCAATATGATTTGATCCGTCACTCTTTACCCATCCCTGCCGAATTATCCCCCTTCATCTTATGTGTTTAATTATTATTCTTATTTATATTAGCTTCACATTTTATTGTACAAAAATCATAAATACTAGACTACACCCTACAATCACAAAACTAATCATAACACCCCATAAACCAGAAGTTACATCATTCGTACTTAAATTAGATGACCCAGTTTCTTGAACCAACGCAGCAGTTACTCTTTGAACTATTACAATAGTTGATGGATAAACTGGTTTCACAGTGGATGTTGGATCTCCATTATCATCCGTTACTGTTAACGTCTGTGAGTAACCGGCTAAATATCTGGTATAGGTCGTAATATATGTTGTATATTTAATATTTGACGAAACTGCTCCTGAAGGAGGAGGCAATGTTTCATCTGCTAAAGTTATCGTTTGTATAATAGGTTGTCTGTAAAATAAATAAAATATATTGTTAAAATTAAAAATATAATAAATTACAAAACAGAATTAAAATTTTACCCATTTGGTGGAGTGCATTCAGGATCGTCTGCGGACTTACAGGTTGGTAACCCATCGTAAGGATAACTCGTATATATACTATCAGGAGGCGTAGAAGTTTTAGATTTACCACCCCGCCTTCCTGTAGAAGTATCGGGAGTATCAGTAGAAATATCGGTTGGTGTTGATCTTCCCTGACCCTGACCCTGACGTCTTTCCAATCTTTCACCAATTCTTGGATTTATCTTTTCGGCTAAAACAAAATTAACAGCCAAGAATTTGATCACTATTAATAACACAATTAAAATTCGATCCTTGGACATGATCATGTTATTTGCAGGAAATTAGCGAAAGCATTGAAAAAATGGAAAATTTGATCGTTGCACGTTTTAAATGATTGTTTATTAAATTACACCAATTTCTATTGATGGCGGACACACATATCCTCGTAAGTACGTACGTACGTACAATAATAAATGAAAATTTCGTATTTCGTATGTACGTAATACCGATACGTGAATTTAGCGGTTTATGACGGTTAAGCCGTTACACATTTATTTAGCGTCACTAACATTTACCATATGTTCGTATTTGTAAAAGAGTCCACTTAATATATGTTGCACGTTGACAAATTAATTAGTAAATAATAATATCAACATATATCTACTTATCTCTTAAACCGTCCGGTTTAGTGTGCAAACTTAGACGTTAAATTAATTAGAAGGAAATATCCAACCAAGATACAATTATAGAATTACGCATGACTACTGTGAAATACATATGCTGTGCAACCTAAACTTTTGAGTCATTTTAATCCTTCATTCATCTAAACATTATCTTTCCCAGTATCGCCACCAAAAGTTAAATCCAATGACTTTCCCAGTATCGAAGTTAGGGTGCTAGGATTGTAATGCGACATAATTTGGCCTACACCACATACCCACATACGTATTAATGTATATTTATTTCGCATGATAACCACATAATACAATAAAATTGATCATACCGTATTTTCGCGAAATAACAAGCATGGCCGTTATTTAGAAAATCGCATTCCCTCAAAATAGTATATGAGGCTTCAAAATAACGTCCATGCGCGTCCCTAAATGACGAGCATCCCATATATACAGTATCTGTGATATAAGTACTGGTTTCCTCTTGCCACTATTGCTTATATATAACGTACACATTGTCGTTACTTAGAAAAGCAAATTTATTAAAAAATCAATCTTTGTCTCGAAATAATTCCCATGCGCGTACTCTAATTAACTTGTATATATCAAAATAACGATAAACATAAGCTCAACAACTAATTACAATACTGAATGTTTTTGATCATATGAAGTGTCCTGTATTAAGAACTCATTTTTACATATACTTCATTTTGAGATAGTTGAGTTTAATCATTTGCTTTGATTTTTTGACTGATCTGAGATTAATCAAAATTTTACAATTTTGATTGGTTAAAGGTAACAGGTAACTATTGGGTAATCTCATAATATGCTTGGTTTTAACCAACTTCATGTAATTTTTCTTTTACATTATTTCTATTTGTCATTAAGCAACTAAATTTTATTTATAATTAAAAATGGTAATTATATTAAATTGTATATTAATCTAATAAAGGTTCATTTTTTTAAAAAATTGTAAAAATGAACCTTTTTAATATAGAACATCTTATATCATTTTTCTTTTATATCTAAGTCTTAAATATATACTTAGTCTTAGTCAACTAATTAACTTTATTTATCTTAAATTAAAATTATCTAAATTTAGAATTGATCTTATTTTACTAAGTCTATTATATAGAAAAGGTTATACAATTTAGATCTTAGTAGAGATGCGAAATGGCTCAGCTAAACCATAGCTTTATTGGCTAAGCCAATCAATTTACTGTTTGGCTAACTAACAGCTCAGCTAACTAACAGCTCGGTTTTGTATAATGTGAGTTGATTTAGAACTGTAAGTCGATCAAAATGCCAATCACTAAAATATGAAATGTCATAGACTATTATACTTTTAAATTTTTAGTAATGCTTTTATGTCAAAATTAAACTATTAATATATAGTAATATTTCTGTAATGTCTTCTAAATCTGTACACATCATTGTATTAATTAATAAATAAAAGAGAATTTTTTTATTTTTTATTTTTTATTTTTAAAATAATTTTTCAAATAGATCCTTCAAATTCTTAAGAAGCTCTTTGAGATATTTCTGATAACAATACAAATTTCATTAGTGCAAATGTTACTTCTGTATCTGCAGTTAAAAAAAAAAGAAAAAGAACATTATCGGTTAGACCATATTTTATAAATAAAATAAATGATGCTAAAAAGGTTATTTGTATTATTTGTAAAGATCCATTTAGCAAGCAAATAGCTACAGGACCTTTACATAAACACCTTGACACACAGCAACCAGATTGAAATTCAAATAAACAAATACAAAATTATTCAATTTTAGTATAACCTTTGACACCTAATTAAAAAGAATGTTTAAATATTTTAGTAGCTAAGTAGATTGTTTCTGATTCTTTGCCTTTTTTAGCTGTTAGTAGTAAAGCATTAATTGCTTTGCTACAATATATTAATGCATATATTAAGTTACTTTCACATGATACCATAAAATTAATTATGCAAAGTTCTTTTATTTCGATGCAAAAAGATGTTCAGAGAATTTTTGAGCAAATTTCTAGCAGAATTTTAATTACATTGGATATTTGGACATCATGCACAAATATGCCTTTTCTTGGTGTAACTGCACATTGGATCAATAGTAATTGGAATCTTCAAAAGATTTTAATTGATATTTGTATACTTCCATATCTGCATACTGAAAAGAATATTAAAACATGATTACAAGTTATTTTAGAAACTTACAATATATCTATAAAGTTATTTGGTATTACAACAGACAATAGTTCTAATATGATACTAGCAACTTATTTACTTAGTTCATATTTTTTGATACATAATTTATGTTTTCATACATGTCATTGTCTTGCATATATTTTGTATCTTATAATTATTATGGAACTAATACCAATTAAAGAGTCAATTAATAAAGTGTACAGATTTGTTAATATAATTACATCATTATCTATGATTACACAAGATTTTAAGAAAATTGGCAAGTCTGTTGGTGAAGGTAAAACTATTTATAAAATTCCTTATGATGTATCGAATTAGTAGAATAATACATACCAAATGCTTTCTGTTTATATATCCATGCCTATAACAATTGCAGTAATTATAAGGCATTATGATAATCTTGCCCAGTACAAACTTACACAACAAGAAGATTTTGATCTTTATATTATAACTTCATTTTTAAAACCATTTTATGAAACTACAAATACACTTTTAGGTAACACTTATATAATATTGGGTCTTTCTATTTTATTAATAGATAATTTTATTGATATAATTTCATCATACATTCAGAATTCAATGAGTTCTACATTTCTTAAAGTCACAACAATTCATATGTTAGAAAAAATTAAAAAATATTTGGATTATATTATTGATGAGGCTGCTTTTATTGCTTCTGTTTTTAATCCTTGCATTAAATTGGAGTTAATGTCAGTTGACTTAAATACTTAAGAAAACTGGAACTTTTTTAATTAAATTCTTCAAACTGAATATGCAATATTAGATAATTGATCTACTATTGAAAATATGTCAAGCCCTATTACATATATAGAACAAGTTGCTGAAAAACGATGATGATTTAATGTTTTAACAAATACAAAGGATAAGTTTACACAGTATTTAAACAAAGCTACATTATCTATGAATCTTAATCCTTTAGAATAATAGAAACTTAATAGCCTTCGTTTTCCTGGTATGTCCCAAATGGTTAAGGATTTTCTTATCATTCAGGCAACTTCAGTGCCTTCTGAACAAATATTTTCAAAGGCAGGTGATACTGTTTGGGCAAAACATGCACATCTCTCTGAAAAGAGTGTACAAGCACTTATGTGTACTGGTTCATGGCTGAAGCACAGTATTACATTTCAGAAATAAATTTAAAAACTACATTATACAATATAGAAATGCTTTATGTCACAAAATTTATTAAACATTAAAAATTTGTTACATATTTGATATTTACTTTGTAACTTCTGTATAAATAAATTTTTGCTCTATATCTATGTAATAAATAAAC